CACAAACACACACACACACACACACACACACACACACACACACACACACACACACACACACACACACTTGCGATTTGTGATAAGAGAGTAAACAGAAGAAGGAAGCTATTTCAGTAGCTTGATAGTATAGGTAAGTGCTCACCTGCCGTCTTATGCTTTTATGAGCACACAGTGCATGTGGATTTCAGATAAATCCTAGTCACCATTTAAAAGTGAGAACTAGGGTTTATCTGTGTTTTTCATCTCTCTTGGTATATGAACCTAAAGTGGTCAAATATGAGAATAGTTCTGTATTGACTGCTTTGTTGTCTCAGTGCTTGGCAAGCCTTTTATTGAGCCAAGGGAAATCTTACGGCACACCACTAAATAGTCATCAAGTTGATACACAGATTTCCGATGAATGGGCCTTCCGCCATCGACCCTGAACCGGTCGCGATTCAGTCGCAGGGGACCATCGAGACGATTCGACAAATATTCACACCCACGTATGCAGCGTCAGCGATTGGGAACCGATCTCACGCTGCCCGAAAGCAAGTCAGGCGAGTGGACCATGACACCATCAGCGACTTAATATCAGTTGATGTAAAATCAAAGGCTTGATCAATATATGGATTTGGTGCACTAATTATATTTTCCAGGCGCCAGCAAGAATTGAACTTGCGAGCCCTGGTTTACAAGACCAGCACTATAACCATTGAGCTATGAGACCAGACAAAAATACGACCTGGTGCAATTTATTTTTTTCGTCAAGAGAACACATGAGGCTTAGTTAAATGAAATGTTGGGAGTATCGATTCCCCCGGTTCCGGGTGAAGGGACTGTCTTTTCTCTGACATCATTTTTAAAAGCATACGCGACAGCCAAATGGGGAGTTCTGCGTTTGGGCCTCGTCTTTGAGGGTTTCCGCCTCTCTCAGCCAAACAAAAGACAAGCAGCCAGGAAGCGCAGCAGCCAATCAGCTGCCGCCTTACATTTTGCCAGCGTGTCGGTCCAGTCAGCGTTTGCTTTTTATGAGAGCAGCAGGCAGGGCAGCTTGTGGAGCCTGAGAGAGCGTGGCTGTGCTCGGAGCAGGCTGAGGGCTGCCAGGGCTGCCCTCCATGTTGAAATAAGCATTGACATGTCACACAGAATTGTTAGACATGCATCCACAGAGGTAAGCCCAAATTTTCATTCTTTCACTCATTTTACTCTCTTGTTCAGGCATCAGCCGTAGACGAGCTATGGCCTGAGAACTGGGTGAGGGG